CACACACACATTGACTTTGCATTTTACAAACGAGTTGTCAGTAGGGTTGGGTCAACCCTGTAACCCATGTGGGTCGAGTTGGAGTTGAAAATCTTGACTCGTTTGTAAATTTGGGTCGGATTCGAGTTGACCTGTTTAGACCGAGGTTAACTCGGGTTCTTCCCGAACCTTTTTGAATCCCCTAACCTAATTTTATGCACTTATAATCAATATTAGCTCCTTAACATGATACATTTTTCGACTTAAAGACCAATTAATTATGAGTTGATAAAAGCATTGAAGGTAAAAAGAAAAAAGAAAAACAATTAAGGGGGTGGTTAATTTAAATAATCTAATAAAATATCCCGATTTCTAGTATAATGATAAGAGTATTCTCTAAAAAAATTTAAAAATAGATGGTATTTTTACATTCTCTAAGAAGAAGTTTGGGTAAATAGAATTCTCTCTCATCTCATGTTTGAGGAATTCCAAAGGTATCCTTGCCACCAACCAATCATCATTGCCAAACACTATTCACCAACAATCGCTATGTCCATTTGTCGTCTTCATCTAATGGACCAACTTTGATCTGTACCAAAGCCACCGCATGCATGGCCGCATCCATCGTTTATGTTTGATTAAAAATGAGGTGATGATACTAAGGATTTTTTGCATTGAAAATCTCACAATAATGGTTGATAAAAGAGGTTAATTAGTGAAGTAAGACTAATTAGTACTATCAAAACTTATATAAAATAATTATTGATACATACTCCAAAAATTATCTTGATCGGGCACGAATCTCGAAGCAAAAGCTAGTTGGAAACTTCAAAATTTAATTTTGGGAGAACCCGAACTCCGATTTCAGCGAGCTTATAGTCAAACTGAGCGTCTTGGAAATACGAATCCAACGACACCAAATTCGACCCAATCCGAGCCCAAATGAGTCCGAATCAAGGGCTCAAAGCGCTGTTGGAAGGTTCAAACCGCAATTTGAGTTACCAAACAGTCTCCGATTTTGACGAGCTTATACTCGAATCGAACGGCTCGACGAGAAAAATCCAACGAGCCCAAGATCATCAAATTCCGACATCATTAAGGCCTTCAAATGACCAACGAACGGTGCATGATCAAAGGATTCGATATCGGC